TGGGATGGTGTACATGGGCGGGATGGTGTACACGGGGGGATGGTGTATATGGGTGGGATGGTGTACACGAGCAGGATAGTGTATACCACTGAGCCCCATGAGGTTGCTGAGGGGGGAAGAGAGCACATGGACACACCACACCACCAAGAGCTGGGGAGATGAGGGACCAGCATGGGGATGCAGAAAGGGTGGCCAGGAGGGAGTGAAGGAAAGCGTTCCCTGGTGGAGAGAGCAGTCTCCTGTGTCAAAGCACACAGGACAGGCCAGGAACGACAAGGACTGGCAGGAGGCACAGGATTTCCTCAGAGCCGGGTGCTGTGCTAGAGCCAGCTGATGGGAGCCAACTGTTAAGTTTCCAGCAGTTATGTGAGCTGGAGGACTTCACCTTGGCAGCCTGAACTCAGCAGCAGTGGGAGTATTTACACCACATCACTTGGCAAACATGACTGAGAACCAGGGCCTTCCCAGGCAGGCTGGAACCCCGCAGCCTGCTGGGTGGGGTGTGAGGGCAGGCTGCGGAGCTCCTGCTTACAGCAGCCTCGGGGCCCCGCATCCCTGGGGAGGCGCCTGCAGGGATGAATCCAGGCTGTGCTCCCAAGGGAAGCCAAGAAACAAACACAGCGGGGCCAGCACCAAGCACTGTCGCGGCGGGAGAGCTGCAAACGCAGGGAAAAGGCCTCCGAGGGCCAGGCCAGGCCTGTCTGGCTCCACAGCAGCTGTGTCGGGAATAAACCCCACATTCTCAGGGTCAGGAAAGGGCTCTGAGCCCGCTCCAGGCTGTGGGGCAGAACGAGCCTCTCCTACAGAACACCATGGTCAGAACAAGGCTGATAACGCAGCATGCTGCCCTCCTCTGGGAGTGAGAATAATGACAGTCACCTCGTGTGGTTACCGTGAGGAGCAGAGAGACACCTGGCCGAGGCCCAGAGGGCTCAGCAGTCACCCAAGGTCACCCAGCCAGGCCTGGAGCACAGCCAGTGGGTCTCTGAGCTCATGCCAGGGAATACTCTATTTTGTCATGCCTAGCAGTCACCAGGCAGACTCTGGGAGCCAGGCCTGGGGCAGAGACGTTGCCTATTTGGGGACTTAGACATTTGGCTGCAGGAGATGGAGCCCTGACCAGAACTGATCTCCCTGTCCCCAGTGGCCTGATGGGGCAGCTCCTCCCATTTCCAGCCCCTGCCCATGCTGGCAGTGCCAGTGGAGGCGTTGCTGAGGTGGGCACGGTTCGGGGTGAGTGCAGCCCCCAGGGCAATGCGATGCTCTCCCTAGGAAAAGCACAGAACCCACCCTGCGGAGCTGCAGGCACCTCTCCAGGACCACTGCACACATGGCTCCTCTGAGAGACTGTCCCCCCGAAAAGACTTGCTGAGGGTGGAGTCACGCATTTCACAATCCATGTTCCTTGCTTGAAACTTCCAAAGACATATTGTTATGCTGGGATTTGCGTTTACACCTGACACAAATGGAAGTCCGTCTCCACTGCGTGCAGAGCTGCAGGGCCTCAGGAAGGATGAGTCGGGAAGGAAGGAGTTGGCGTGGATGGAGCAGGCAGATGAGATCTGTGTAACGTACTGTTCCAAGGCTTCAGAGGAAGTGGTATTTCAGGAAAAATACATCAAAACACTCGAGCATCGCTGCCTCTGCAAAGGCGTGATGACACTACCCGTGTCAGTGTTTCTGACAATAATCTGCAGCAATTTTTATATCCAAAAGGATTCATAAGGCAACTTCTTTGATCTTGGGCTTGCAAGTTACATTTCTCACAATGTGTTTCTCAATTCCAAAGGCCTGTGGCTGGCATGGTCACTTGCACACCAGCCAAAAGACCCTCTCCTTGGCACGGCTGTCCCATGCTGCCCTCCTGCCTGTTGCTGATTGAGTCTCCCGTGTGCAATACATGCCGGGTAGAGGTGACTGGCAAGCTGCACTTAGTTTTCTGTTTTCGTTTTTATTTTGAGATGGATCTCACTCTTGTCACCCAGGCTGGAGTGCAGTGGTGCAATCTTGGCTCACTGCAATCTCCACCTCCTGGGTTCAAGCAATTCTCCTGCCTCAGCCTCCCCAGTAGCTGGGATTACAGGTGCCTGGCACTATGCCTGGCTAATTTTTGTTAGTAGAGACAGGGTTTCACCATGTTGGCCAGACTGGTCTCGATCTCCTGACCTCAGGTGATCCACCCGCCTCAGCCTCCCAAAGTGCTGAGATTACAGGTGTGAGCCACTGCGCCGGGCCAAGCACTTAGTTTTTAACCAAGTATTTCCACGTGACCCGTAATCTGAAAGTAGAATGGAGATGTGTGCAGATCACAGGCACGGAGGCACCTACTATTTTCTGGGCGTTTCTTGTGTGCCACCCCAGAGGGATTTTTCAGTTTCTGAATTACAGCTATTCTGATGACACGAGGCCCCTGAAGAACAGTCACCTCACGCCTCCCCAAGGGGCCCTCTCCGTGGGCATGGACACGAAAATAGGACCGTTTTACACAGAATCAGAACACAGGAAGTCCCCCTCCGCAGCATGGCTGCCTGTGCTGGGGGAGAGACTGGACTTCCAGTAAAGCCACGCTGCTAACCCAGCACTGTGTTTTCAAAAGCCTGAGGTGCCTTTTCATCAAATTCTATCATCCT